TTTGTGAAGTTCTGTTGGGTCCCAGGCCACGTGGGTATAAGAGGTAATGAAGAAGCTGATACAGCTGCTAAGTCAGCAAGCCCTTCACAGCATACAATGCATATTGAAGGAGGTGATTTGAAGCTGGTCGTTAAAAAACGACTAGCAGAGAGATGGCAAAATATGTGGAACGCACAAATCCACAATAAACTACACGAGATCAAACCTTTGATAGAAAATTGGACACACAATAGGCAGTATGATAGGAGATCTGAGGTTGTCCTTACTCGTTTGAGAATTGGACACACACGACTGACTCATCAATACCTTTTGAAGGGAGATGACGAAGCAGTATGTCAGTACTGCAATTGTACCGTAAGTGTTAAACACATACTTTGCAATTGCATCGCTCTTGATCAATGTCGTAGACAGCATTTTGGAAATGCAAGTTTGAGTGAGATTTTGGGCCAGAGGCCAAAACTTGATAAGTTACTGAACTTTCTTAAAGTTGTAAATATTTATAAAGAGATTTAATTAATTATTCATATACTTATTGATTATTTATTATCATATTTTTTTATTATTATTTATTATATATTTATATCTGTTTTGTTGTTTTGTTTATTTGATCTTATTCATGTTTATGTGTTGTATCTATATTTTGTTATATATATTATGTTCATTTATTTATTTATTTTACCTTTTGCCTTGGCGCAGCATGGCCTGCATGGCCTGAATGGCCCTTGTGCCAGAAAACTCGCACCAACCAACCAACCAACCAACCATCACTTTCTCTTTCTTTGTCCTTTCTTTGTAAGTTCAATACACCACTTGTGCTGGCCATTTTTAGACTAAATAATTGCCAACTGTAAAATTTCACCGGCACGGAATGTTTATTATCCTACGTCACAAAAGTTTTAAGCGGGGAAGAAGTTATTGCCATTATTTACACTATGTCTCTAATTACTTAGCCGGGAGAGGAGTCGATTGCCATCATGAAGTGACACCAATTAGTGAGCCATACGACCGATACATTTAATTTAAAGTCTCCATTAGCGTTACCACCCAGTAGAAGTGTTAAATGATCTTTTGTAGCTTTAAATCCTGGTGATCGCTTTTCTTCACAGGATAAAAATGTATGTTTTGGCATTCTCTTCCAGAAATGGCCTGTTTCATTAATATTGAAAAATAATTCAGGAGGATAATTCCCTTGTTTAATGATTGCTCTTAATGTCGTTGGAAATGCAGCAGCTGCTTTTCTATCTCAACTTGCTGCTTCTCTAGTATGTCATGAATATTATTTCTGTTTTTAAACTGATTGAATCATCTTTGACTAGCTACGAAATTTTTACTTGTGTTGCCTTTTTCATTCTGAATATGGTTAAAAAAATTTTCTCACTTTTTCCATTATAATTTCTTGACTTAATGGCGTATTGCATTCAATTTCATTGTCAATCCAGATGGAAAGTCGTTTTTCAATTTTCTCAAACACATTGCTTTTGGTACAGGTAATTTTTAACCACAACTACAACCAGTTGTGGTTGTAGTTGTTGATACTGGTTGTAGTTGTTGATAATACAATTTTGTCTTTATTTTTTAAAATTGATTGTATTGTTGAAGTTTACAAATTTAATGCAGTGTTGATATCAGATTGCCGTTCATATGAATCTAATTGTCTGAGCACTTGCATTTTAGTTTCTAGTGAAATGCTTTTTCTTGTTGCATTACTTACTTTTTCTTTGCAATCACCCATTGTAAAAACTAAAAATTGCTTTATTTATTACAATAAAATAAAATATTATGTTTATATGTAAATACACACAATAACATTGAACAGAAAACGTACTCGGCAAATTAATAATCAAAATAATTAACACCTAATCCAAAATAATCACACAATAACATTGTTGATCAATCATAAATCAACTGTGATGCAGGAAATGTGTTTGAACTGCTATAAGACACACCACAAGACTGCACGTAAGTATCAAAGCAACAAAATCATGCATATTTTGTTTCTCAGTGCACTTGACGAATTTGTCTCGTAATATCTTTTATATCTTACTTATCTCTAACCTGAGATCGAAACATAGAATACTTCTTCCTCAATTTTGATGGCTGTGTGATCTTACTATGTGTGAGTAGCAGGGGGCCACTGGGTCGAACCCTAATGACCGCTTAATCTGCACGGGTCGGGAAGACCCGCTCTCGGTTGTCGGATGGCAATAGGAGGGCTAAAAATATGAGTGGGGAGGAATTGGAAGTCGTGACCAGGTTTCCAAAAGACTACACGGGTTGAAATTAATGAACACATTTAATAAACAACTATGAAAATTTACACAAAGATGTTAAATACAACATATGCAAATCAAGATATAAATAGGTATTCTAAAAACTATTCTAACCTAACGCTAAAATCCGAGAGAGAGCTCACGTTAGAGAGAGATAAATAATAATGGCAAGGGTTTACCTCGAAGGCAACGTTCTCCAATTATAGGACGTTACTAAAACACTCTGTGATCGTCGTCTTCTAATCCGAGGTTCCTTTGAAGGCTATGTGGAGCGATGTCCTGTTACGGTGTATGCTCCGTCGCTCCCAATATGTAGAGTTCTTCCTTGACGAAGTTCTTCGGAGGTTTCTTCAATCAACCTCTCCGAGGAGTAATTCCGTCGTATATGGAGAGAATAGAAAATAAGCAAAGTCCTTTACCTTTCATGGAGCGGCAATTATGAGCTTCTTAGATCCTGAGAGTGCTGGAAGATCGTGCGACGATCGCTCTTGAGGTTTGCAGAGGGGTTTCTTCGGCGTTAGCTCCTCAGCCAAGCGCCCGGAGTAGAAAATTTGACCCCTTTATATACTCTATAGCGTGGGAAAATCTGCTACTCTTTTGACAGCTCTCCAGATTTATGACAGTCTCCCCCGTCATGGGTGACGACAATGCAGACATCGTTTAACCAATTACTGTTAAATTCGTCATCACCTAGGGAGATGAATGACCTTATTTGGTCATTTTTTTCGTTCGGTCGCTGCCGACGTATGAGGGTCACGTGACATCGTGGTCCCTC